TTCATTTATGTGTTGAAGATAGGTACCTCAAGGGTTGGCCTTGACGTGATGACAACGTGCGGGAATGGTGATTGCAACTTGTGGATTAACTCCAACTTTCTTGAAGGCGTCCGAAGAGAAGATAGCATGCATGCAAGGGATGCTAACTTGTGCCACTTCTTTGCAGCACTCAGCAGAAACTGGAGCCCACTCGTCACATGCTGCTTTTTTACAATGACGCAGCTTATGTGTTAACATTCTTTGTGTGCTAAACTTGTCACATGGACCATCTTTATGGTGTTCATGATCATGATCCGAATCATGATCAGCAACAGCCACAGTGATCAAAAGCAGCAGCATGACCCAACAAATGAACTTGTTCATCTTTGCTAATTATTAACTTGTATGTATGTATTTCCTTAATGAAGTATCTTCAATTAATTAATCTTAGGCAGGCAACTCACACAAAACTCATTAGCATTAAGCTCTATATATATTGTCATTAGCAAAACAAATTAAGAAGCAATTGTTGAGAAAACCATGTACTCAAGCTAGCAACTGGTTTCTAATTCTCATTCTTTAATTTCTTGGGAGAAGAGAGCTATAGCTGGCAAGCTGCACGCAGATTCTTACTTTTGTGGAACAGTCTCAAGAAGCAGTACCAATGGAATATCTTGAATCATAAATGTGGTTTTTGAATTATCGTACGTGGTTTTTGAAAAATTGAAGCTGCACGTCGTCATTACAATTAGAAGCTCTATGGTTTTTGAACAAGATTAATGTTGTTTAATTTACATCTTGTTCGGGTTGATTATCGTACAAGTCAAATTAGTCATAAAGAATGAAAGTCTCAAATAGTTGTGGTCTACACTAGTTCACCTAATTTCGTATCCATTAAAGAAAATTGCTTAATTAATTTCCCAAGGTATCGCAAAACAGAAATCTTATTTTATTTACAAATCTGCACACATTAGTTTTTCGAAGTTTTAATAATAAAAATGCAAGAACTCTCAATAACCGTAACCACACCAGTGGGAAGACAAGTATCGTTTCACATATTGCTTAGTTAGTATGAGGCCGAAAGTTATCTATATATGTGCTGCTTCTAGGCAAAAAAGAAAAAACACACACATTTCACTCTGTCTTTTCGTCTTATTTCTCGCTCAATCTTATGAAGAATATATTTCTCGGAAAAAAAATCCAAATGATAGCAAGTTATTTATTTATTTTTTATAAATATAGCAAGCTATTTTAAATTCATATACATTTGTGCCATAGTTGACGGGACAATTGAAGTTTTGCTTGCATATGTGGCCATATACCATGGACAGTGAGTACCACAGTACAAAATTCTATACATTCGGCGCACGCCGAAACCTTGTACTGTTATTCACATTCCAATCCAATGACCCAAAAACAAATCAAATAAAAGCTGGCGAAGTGCTTTGCATGTAAATAAAATAAGTTTACAAACAAACAGCCCATGCTAACTGCTTTGAGGTTCAGTTTTAATTTTCACGTAGCTGTTGTACCTGTTTAATTTTTGTTTTGGATTCAAATTTATAATGGATGCCCGACTGTCACTTTTTATTTTTCTACTAAAAAAAAATTGTCTTGCATATAACCTTAAATGAATTATTTTAACGGTTTAACATTGCTGCTTTTGCTGTATATAAAATTTTACTACCACACTTACTTAAAAATGAGCGGATTTCACTTTCTCTTCTTTTTACAATGGAACTCATTTACTTTTATGTGAGTATAGTAGAAAAAAAATTCTATAACAAAAAGCAAAATTATTTTTCCCCTATTTTAAACCTCAATGTAGAAATTAATATTGTTATGGAATATATCCATATTTAACCGCCTATCTCATGTATCCCTTAATGGATAATGGCACAGTTATTTTAACAGAATAAAGATAAAAGGATAAAACCCCTATCCCTATGAATAAGAGGTTAAATCCTATATCGACTGAAAAATCTACATGGTCCAAGAGATAACCCCTATAAATAAAAAGCTAAAGAACCCAAGTACACATAAAAAAACCTATTTAATAATACTGCCAAAACTGTGCACATACCCACGTCTTGGCTATAATCCTATTGCTTGTGCACAGTAATTGAGAGATTGACTATAAGTCAACCAAGATATCTATGAGCGCATACTATATAGTATATAGTGTAATTCTACGGTTCTCTAGGACCGAACAAATATCAAATTAAATTTCGTTGTTCGATCCACAAAATAAATAATTATAAAAGCAGATAAAGAAGGGTGAAGGAAGATGCAATAATTTTTTTCTTGGGATAAATCACAAGTATCTTCCACATAAAGAATTTTTTGCATTCACAAAAACTTACTTAAGTGGAATTAAATACATACCACTTGAAGCAACCTCTTTGGTGTAAGATGCAATAGTTTGATTGCTTTTACTTGCATACACAAAATAAAAAAATATATAAAACCATGAGATATGACAGAAAGGGCTTCAAATCGTGGTAGTTAAAATATCAATTTAAATCTACGCTTTTATGATTTTACAAATTTTTTTAATCAAAACGATTTCATCAAAATTCTAAATGATTTTGTATTTTTATGATTTTTTATGATTTTTTACGATTAGGATTTTACGTTTTGTATTTTTCGTTTACGTTAGGATTTTACGTTTTACGATTTTTTATCCTCCTTTTGATTTTAGGTAAAATTCCAATTTTAACTACGATGCTTCAAATAACACAAGGCATGGAATAAGGAGTAAGTATAATATTAATTTGATTTTAATTATTTTTTATTTTATTTTTTGGTAAGCTAATTATTTTTTATTTTAAGTGTCTTTTTTTTTGTAAGTATTTTAAGTGCCTTTTTTCTTGTAAGTATTTTAAGTGTCTTTAATGTTGATTAACGGAATTATGATTAATTATATTTAAAAAAAATATATAGACATATTTTAATTATATTTTAGGGTTATTTAACATTTTATAAAAGATATTTAAAATTATATTTATAGATTTTAAAATTTTGAATATTGATTAACCTTTTTGAGAACAAAATTTCTTTTTTATGGAATATGAGTTCGTTTGTTTAGTTTATGGACTATATTACTCTCATGTCATGAGAGTGATGTAACTTCTTACATATCTATCAATTTTTATGCCTTTCTTTCTTTTTAATAAATAATAAGACTCACCACACGATTATATCTATAATACGAGATATCGTTTAGTTTATCTATGTCCTTTGGCATTAATTATCCTCGACATATTGTGATGATGGGCTTTAATAGTCCAGTTGCTAGCCCACATAAAACTGGCATAAAAATGACTGGAAACAATGGCTGCCCGGATACTAGTCAATTCGCGAGTCCAAATTTGCAACTTCAAACTTTTCAACTATTCCGTGTATGTTTCGTGAAGAGGTTATATTGACAAACTTTATTTTTTTACAAATTTACAAATTATGCGATATCTTATCGATAAGATTTTACTCGAGAGTGTAATATGGTAAGATATAGTATAGTTTGTAAGAGTTTGTACATAAAAAGTTTATAAATATAACATTTCTTATATTTTACTAGGAATTTATTCATATTTAAGATACTAATTTTTCACATGCATGAATTCATGGATCGAACTCAAAATTAAAATATGATCCTTTCATATATACAATTTCCCATTGTTTAAGAAACTCGATACCTTCTATACTGACAAATACATTCATAGTTAATAATTTGAGTCATTCTAACCTCAAGGGGTGGCATAATTGATAAGTGAGTTGTGTTCAAGGAATAGACTATTGTTGAGGTTGCAATGTTTTTTATTCGAATTTTATATGAAGCAATTTGGGGTCAGTGATAAAAAATTTACACTATCACTGGAAAATCAAAAAATAAATAAATAATAATTTTAGTCATTCTTATTAAGTTTTTCAACTAATCAATATTCTTAAGTTCATATATCCTCAAAGATTTCCTATCAATTAATATTATCATCAACACAATCGCAGGACACGTCATATAAAAACGATGATGTTTAGGAAGTGATAACGCGTAGAGCCATGGCCTTCATTAACAAGTTCATCAATGGATACCCCTCTAGAGTAACAAAAGCAGGGTATGGTGGTGGAGCTCATATAGCTTGTGTTTTTTTATTTCTATGTGGGTTTTCGATTATCCAACCGGTTAAATTGAGTGGGACAAGATCATAAGGAAGGCAAAATTCTCCTGAAATTAAATTTGAGATCATTGGTTAAGTGCAAATACGTTGGTCTTTAGACTATCTAAGTGCAAATAAACATTGAACTTAAAACAACCAAAAAGTTATTTCTTAAACACAAGTTATTTATTATATGGGTTTTATAATTCTCATGTTAAAGGAGAATTGAAATCTATTGTAGAGATAAAAAGCATGTGGGACCCATGTGTTAGAAAAAATTATATGTAGGACCCATGTCAGCACGGAAATCGAAAACCCTAAACCCTAAACATTGAACTTAAAACAACCAAAAAGTTATTTCTTAAATGGTCACACAAGTTATTTATTATATGGGTTTTATAATTTTCATGTTAAAGGAGAATTGAAATCTCATGTTGTAGAGATAAAAAGCATGTGAGACTCATGTGTTAGAAAAAATTCTATGTAGTACTCATGTCAGCACGGAAATCGAAGGGTGCGTAGGAAAATTATAATTCTCATGTTAAATGAGAATTATAAAACCCTTATTATATATATAACAGAGTTTTTACAGTGTAACTTATTCATGACTCATGAGCCTCTATAATGAGCTCAAATTATTAAAGATACAACACACAAAACATTGTTTCCCGAACTTTAACGATGTATCATAACCTCAGGCACCACATATAACTTGCGTTCTCAGCCTTCAAGGTACATATATAAGCTGCAAATAGATTAGAACAAAAAACAATAAGCATATGGCACATTAATATAGAATATGGTAAATCAATTGTTTATTTTACTATATATATATATGTGTGTGTTGAAGATAGGTTACCTGATGCATTAGTGAACATGATGGCAACGTGCGGGAATAGTGATTGCAATTTCGGGATTAACTCTAACTTTCTTGAAGGAGTCTGAAGAAAAGATAGCACGAAGGCAAGGGATGCTGACCTTTGCCACTTCTTTGCAGCACTCAGCAGAAACATGAGCCCACTTGTCACGTGCTGCTTTTTCACAGTGACGCAGCTTATGTGTTAACATTCTTTGTGTGCTAAACTTGCCACATGGACCACCTTTATGGTGTTCATGATCATGATCGGAATCATGATCTTCAGCAACAGCCACAGTGATCAAAAGCAGCAGCATGACCCAAATGAACTTGCTCATCTTTGCTAATTAACTTTTATATGTATTTCCTTAACTAAGTAGCTTCAACTAATATTTGGTAGGCAACTCACACAAAACTCATTAGCATTAAGCTCTATATATATTGCTATTAATTAGCGAAACAAATTAAGAAGCAATTTTTGACAAAACCATGTGCTCAAGCAACTGGTTTCTAATTCTCATTCTTTTAATTTCTTGGGAGAAGAGAAGGGCTATGTATAGCTGCCCGCAGATTCATACTTTTTGTCGACGTTTAAAATTATTAGAACAGCATGTTATGTTATTGAGGATATATATAAGAAGATAAGATCAATATTGGAGGCTTTTTCTTAAATAATGAATAGAAAAACAAACACTGATAGTCAAATTAGACGTAGTTGTTTCAAGTTTGGTATTCTGTAACACGTCATGTTACAATTAGACACTCTGGTTTTTGAATAAGATAAACGTGGTTTCCATCTCGTTCAGGTTGATTGCTTACAAGTCAAATTAGTGATAAAGAAGGAAGGTCTCAACTGTGGTTCAATATATTTAACATAATTTCATATTCTTTATAGAATATTGCTAAATTAATTAGCCGAGGTATCACAAAACTCAAATCTTTTGTTTTTTTTTGTTTTTAAACAAACCTACACAAGCTATACAAGTATAGCTTATTTTTCATTAAGTTTTAATAAGAAAAATGCAAAAAACTCTCAATAACCATAACCCTAGCCACACCACTAGGAATACAAGTATTGCTTCACAGATTGGCTGATTGACAATGACCGATAAATCTTTATCTTAAAAATCAATTATCCGTTTATCCTATTTTTAAAATTATTTATCAATTTACTCGATTATTTAGACAAAAGTTGATATTATGTGGATTCCACAAACATGATATATGTTAATAATCGGACCAGTGCAATATGGGTGGGTCAATATTGGGCTTAATCACACTCGGTTGTAGAGTGAAGGCTTTTAGTTGGGTAAGGTTCTCCTTGGGCTAGAGATGGCAGTTATGAAGTGAGTTGGTGATGATCTCCCTTGGCGCTATGACTCTGACTGGGGTACCTGCAAAGACACTCTGGATCCGACGCTCAAATCAGTATCAGTGCAAGGCTTATGTTGTATTCTTACTGAATTAAATTGATGTACCTGGGTGTGTACCATTTGTTTATATAGTAAGTCTGATGTCGCCTTTGGTAGGCAGTATGTCATCTGATTGACCGTTTATGGGCTGCCGGTTTATCTGTTCTCAGCTTGTGTCTTTCTGACTATACCTCTATATGTCAAGCTACTTTTATAGAGTGGTGGCAAGCTGGTGCTGTCCTTAGAGTATTGGCTCATTACGCGGTGGTTCCTTGTTCATGTTATGAATTTCTTCCTTAGTTATGAAGTCATGTCTTAGGCAATTTAGGGGCGATGAATCTATCGCGTCCCCTGATTCATTGTGCACGATGTAGATATCGCTCATTACATGGGCCCTAAGTGTTTGGGCTTTGATATTTGGGTTTTAATCCTATGTGGGCCGATTGTATTTTATCCAGATCGATTAGTAATATGATAAAGACACGTATCTCATTGTGGAATTTACGTAGTCGAAAGTGGTCAATTTTTAATAAAGTATGATAGATTAATAACTAATTTTAAAAATAGGATAAATTTATTAAATAATTTTCAAAATAAAAGTAGATTAATCATTCTTCCTCACATATTTCTTATATTTCTTCAAGAGTGTTCTAATCCAAATGTTAGGTGAACTGTACCCATCCGTGATGATTCTTCCAACTCTTCTCTGATTCTTCCAACTCTTCTCTAATATATCAATTTAGGGGTTGTCCAAAACCGTTCCCCTCTATCCTTCGACGAATAGTGACAATACTCTGATACTCAAATAAACCTTTACTCTAGAGGAAAAGGTATAAATCTCGTAAGAGGAAAATCTTTTTTGGGTCCTTAACAAAAAAATATTGTCTTCGTTTTCGTCCCTTACAAAAAAAACTCATATTAATTCTTTTCCAAGGACTAAATTGGATCTTCATTGAATTTATGAGGGAACATATTTTCAAAGAACTAGAATTATAGAGGGAATAAATGTTGACTTTATTTTTAAGGGACGAAAATGAAGACCATATTTTTTAATGTTATTAAACTCGGACCGGTGATCGACCCGGTCGGGGTACCGAGTCAGTGGGTCACTGGTTCAACCGCATGAATCAGATATATATATATATAAATTTATATTTTATACTCAATTATATAATAAATATTTTAAATGGTGCAAGTGAACTAAGAACCAAATATAGTTTAGTGATAAAGACTATAATTTACATCTTCATAACAAGGGTTCAATTCCTACTAAATGCTATTTTGAAATAATTCTATTAAATAATATATATATATATATATATATATATATATATATATTAAATGGTGCATATTAACCAATAAACAAAATCAGCCCAGTGGTAAGTTGTTGAATCCCAATAGCTGCAACATTGGAATTATTTTTTCCAAAATTGGTTCACCGGTTGAACCGCGGTTCTTGACCGGTTCACCGGATCGATAGCATGTCCGGTCCATTGTAAGAAACGGACCGGTTGATGGGCCGGTTTCCGGACCAACCGGCCAGTCCGTTTTTAACAACACTGGTATTTTTTGTTAGGATACAAAAAGGATTTTACTTATCTTTTAATGAAGTTTGTTAGGGATGCTTTTCTTTCATCCTAGGCCTATGCGATTAGCCGATTACGGCAGCCGCAGCAGCCCATGCGAAGATAGAGTTTAAGTCGTTTTGTGGGCCACCTAATGAGTTGTGCAGCGTTGCGTAATACATACTATATGAGGCCTTATGGGCGTTTGGATTTACTTCTGAAAAAAAAATATTTTTTATGTCTTGTTTATTTTTAAAATATTTTTTAAAAAAGTCAAACTTATTTAAATTTTTAAAATAAAATTTGGCTTTTGGTTTTTGGTTTTTGACCTTTATTTTTGTAGAAGCTAAAATTTTTAATTTTAAAAAAAAACAAGTTTTTAACTTTTTTTTGTGATTTTTGCTTTTTGAAGAGTAGACATCCAAATAAATTTTATAGTAGAAGTGCTTCTTTTTTTGAAAAAAAAAAAAAACAGCTTTTCACTATGAAAAAGCCCATCCATATACATTTGTTTCTAGGAAAAAGAAAAAACTCTACAATGTTCTTTCACTTTGTGTTTTTATCTCAAAGATTAGGAAGAAAATATTTGTTGGAAACAAAATTATTTTCATTTCATCTACATTTGTGCCCATAATTAAGGGAAAGGTGTGTGTCTTTTAAAAAGACACACACTTAGATCCTTTTAAAAGAGAGATGGATACGAGGTGGGACTCACACCTTTATTTTTTTGTCTTTTATTTTGTTTCAGTGGGACCCACATCTTTTCATATTTATCTCTCTATTCAAAAGAATTAAGTTTGTATCTTTCAAAGGACACACATTTCTCATAATTAATGGTACAATACAACTAATTTCCACTTTTCCTTACTAATGAGGCCGTGTATTTGCAAAGCATACAACGGACAGTGAGTACTTCAAAAGCCCATCTCCTAAAGTGTGACAACGTTCAGCGTGACGTTCGGCTCACGCTGAAAGCCTTGTACTGATATACACAATCCAGTCCAATGACCCAAAAACAAATCAAATAAAGCTGAAGAAGTGCTTTCCAAATGTAATGAAACAAGTTTACAAACAACCAACCCTTGCTCATTGCTTTGAGGCTATCCAGCGGTTCAACCTTATTTCCAAGATGCTTTACTTTCACACAAGTAAAACTTATTCGTAACACAAATTATTGTTAATTTACGGCACGAAGAGCTGACAATAAAAGTAGATAGGAGATTCACAAACTAACCTTTTTCACCGGTAGTATTGATAAGTATAGAGAAAAGTACTTCTTTAGAAGCATTATTCCTAATTAAGGAGAAAAGTCATGATCAATAATCTTCAGTTCGGTGTAAGTTATGAGCAATTCGGACTACAGCAGCTAAACCATATGTAGCTTCATCTTCTTTTTTGATATAACTACATAGCTTCTTTTTTTGAAAGGACAGAGTCAAAAAATCTGAGTTTAACTAGGGTGATTACTGATTAGGATCTCATCCCAAATAAAATGTCTTAATAGTATTCTTCCACGTTTTGCCATTGAGGTCCGATCTCTGAGTTTGAAGATTTGTCCCTTTTTCTTTATCAGTGGATATGACGAAGCTTATCCAATGTACCTAAAGCTAAACTTTATTAATCATATACAACATTGATGCAACACAAACTCAAGGATATTTTGTTACAATTCAAATTCTCCATAAGATAAAAATCAGGCCACTAATGTTGGCATGTACACGGACTCCTGGCAATTGGCATTACTCTTCAACCTTTAGCAACAAGTAAACTGCAAAATGAAAGAGCAGGTTTTACAGAGAGAATTCAATGCACAATTTGAGTACTTCGAAAGGGTCAAAAAGAAATAAAACCAAAATGGCTTTCCTTTCCCTTGTCTTCTTTAACTAAGAAAATGTAAATGAATGAATTTGCAATTGTTGTGTATCACAAGCCTCCACATTTGCAACCCATGGGACTATAGCTAATAGTTACTACGACTTCAGGTTTGAACCCAGAATTCTTGGCAGTATTAAGTAACATAACAAGCACAAATAAGAACTATGAGAACTATACAAGTGGAAAAGATAACCTTACTATTGTAATTTGTTACTTACTATGAAAGTTTCCACTACTGTTGTGCTCCCCTTGATACACACAGTTTCTTCCATAACTGTAAGCAACCTCGCTCACCCTTATCACTTGGAACTTTCTTTCTCTTCAGTAATTCAGAAGTGATACTACAAAAAATACCACTTCCATTTGTTAGTATCACTATTTTATAAAATGTAATTCAAAATCAACAAAACCACATTTGAAAACGAAAAATACCCGAAATATCTGAATTAACAACTAATTAGGTCATGAACTACAAAATAAACCTCGCAAATTTCGCAGTTGCAATAAGCATACACAAATTAGTCACATCACAAAGCAATCTAATTTAACCTCAAAACAGAACACTCTCGTTGAACATAGTTTCACCCGAAATATATTATACATAGTTATTGCCTGAAAGTACACGAAACCTAGCGAGTGAAAGCGTACAAAACTACGGCTACGTATATGAGAAGCGCGATGGGGACCAAGATCAAGAGCGGAACGACGGCAGCGAAACTATCAGAGCTTCCACAAGCGAGGGTTCCAAGCTTGATCTGAACGACGTTGACGAGAGCGAGCATGAGGAAGCCGCAGCCGCTAACGGAGCCGACGCCGGAGACGAGCATACCGACGCGGAGGGTGGTGCGGTTGATGTGGGCGAGGAATTCGACGGCGGCGGCGGGGTAGTGGTAGGAGGAGGTGGCGGTGGTGGTGGTGGTGCGGGAGAGGCGAATGACCTGCTTGAGGGCAAGGGCGACGAGGCTGGAGAAGAGGAAGGAGCTGAAGGAGTAGACATGGAAAGCGACGACATTCTCGGCGATGTTGGCGGTGGGTGCGCAGGCAGGATCCTTATTGAGGTTGTTATCCGGGTCGTTGGGGTTCCAGGACAACCCGACGAACACTGCTAGTGTGAAGAGCGAGTTCACGTTCACGATCGCATCTAAGGCCGTTATGTGGAGACTCGTGAAGGATGAAGACATTGCCGAAGAAGGAGCAAGAAGAATGGCGTATCTATGCGATGAATGGATCCTCCTCACTGAAAACGCGGTTTAGCTTGTCTTTACTTTACCAACATATTTTATTCAAAGAGTAACGTCACTACGTCAGCATTTATATATATATATATATATATATAGAGGGTTTTATATGTTGTAGGAAAATTGATTGTGTAATGTTATAGAAATTCGTTTTGTGTGCCGTAGTTTTTTTTTTTTTTCTTCAAAAAATGTGGGTCCCATAAAATGTTGTGTGTAGAAAAAAATTTGTGTCATGTTAAATTGAATGCAAAACTCCATATATATTTAATAGGGAATTTGATATGAGCTAATTGTGTTTTGTATTTAATAGGAGCTGATTGCGTTTTGTATTTAATAATAAGAGTTGATTGTGTTTTGTATTTAACAAGAGCTGATTGTGCGTTTTGTATTTAATAATAAGAGTTGATTGTGTTTTGTATTTAACAAGAGCTGATTGTGTTTTATTAAGAGTTGTCATTTTACAAGTCGGTATCATTGTTTTCACGCTAATTTAGGATATTTAATCAATTAAATATAAGTTTTAATCGATTAAATAAATTAAGAGAGAGATTTAATCGATTAACTTGAAGATTTAATCGATTAAATCTTCAAGTGAACCATTTTTTCCAGTTTTGACCATTTAATCGATTAAATCTTCAAGTTAATAAATTAAAGAGGGGCAGGTTGGTAGATAGTTCTGAATAAGGAACAAAATAATTATTAATTAATTAATAAGAGGCAAAAGGGTCAAATAGCCTACAAAGTTATCTTCACTTTATAGAAGAAACATTAGGCTATTTCACTATTTTACCCCTCATTAATTATTTAATAATCATTTTGTCTCTTATTGCAAACTATCTACCAATCTGCCCCTCTTTAATCGATTAAGTTGAATATTTAATCGATTAAATGTTAAAATGAAGATTTAAATTAAATCTTCAACTTAATCGATTAAATCTTCCTCTGTATCAGAAGAACAACCTTATGCATGGGAGATTTAATCGATTAAATCTTCAAGTTAACGATTTTTGCCTATTTTGACCATTTAATCGATTAAATTTTTGGCTTAATCGATTAAAGAGGGGCATATTGGTAGATAGTTCTGAATAAGGGAAAAATGGTTATTAAATAATTAATAAGGGGCAAAAGGGTGAAATAGCCAGAAACATTAATATATAAATCGGCAAGATAAATTTAAGTTTTCCTACAGAAAGAAAAAAGGGTGGAGTTCACTTTAAAGAAAAAAATAAAAAATAAAAAAGTAATTGGCACGGACATCGAAGTGAGAATGGTATAAGAGGAGACTTCTCATGCAACATGAGAATTTTTTTCCTTATATAAATATATAATAATAAGATAGATCATTTTGCATGCAATATTTTTTCATTTTTCATTTTTTGTTTATGGTGGGATCCATTTGAATTATGTATGTGTAGGAATTTTTCTAATCTCATATTAAATGATAAATGCAAAGCCCTTTGGTAATTTATAATGATATATTATTGTTTATATTAAATAGACATATAAACCTCATGTTAAATGAGAAATGCAAAGCCCTTTGGTAATTTATAATGATATATTATTGTTTATATTAAATAGTCATATAAATTTTTGTGTTGCATTGTTATTTTATATTTAAAGTAATAATACGTTGGTAGGACGTTGTTGATTTAGGGAATGTATTGGATTAGGATTTTAAAAGATTTTTTTGATATAAATTTTTTTATAGATTTTAAAAAACTTTTTACAATTTGAGGGACCTTAAAGACTTTTTTTACAATCAAGATTTCATAAGATTGGATTTTAATAAAATTTATAAGATTTTAAAGGACAATATGAATTTATAAGATTGTAAGAAACGTATGAATTTTTAATAAACATTCAAAATTATAAGGGTCAATAGAAAAATAACAAAGAAATACAATGATATTAATAAAAATAATTAAAACCTAATGTAATCTTCTTAATCAGTAAAATTCATGATAAAATTTCGTTTGAATTTGTTTAAGTGATCATGTAAACCTTGGGGTTTTTATTCTACGTGATAAGAGTTTTCTAACAATATATCATATGTATGTTTTCGTTAAGTATTCCAAGAAAATTTTAGATCTGAATTTCTGGGTTTTATTTAATGAAAGTTTAGAAAATTTCTCAAATTATTTTCAATTGATATATTGAAACCTTAAATTGCTATGAGGCTTTTGTTGTCGTTTTTAATGATCTATTGATAAAAAAATTGTTTGAAATCGTTTATTATAATGAAGAAATTTCGTTCATGAATGTATTATTATAAAACACGGGGTTCATATTATGAAAGTTGCAATCTTTTTTTAAATCGATCTTGTTTCGTTGATGTAAAACAAAAATTGGTTCGTGGGATTTTTGTTCCCCTGTTATTTTTCCACTATTTTATGTTATTTTTAATACAAAAATCACTCATTTTTGTGTTAAGAAAAATCGCGACCAATAACTTGAAAAATCATTATTTAACTTCCAAAAACTTTCAAAAGTCGCTCAAAAATTTGTTGTTTTTGAGATGGATTAAATTAAAATCTTGTTGGTTGTTGTTTTTGGGTTATTTTGTGATGAAAATCGCTCAAATATATGTTGTTTTTAAGCTTTGATGAAGCTCCCATGGCGTAATCTGGCTTCGAGCAGATCTGTCCGCCAAAGGAAGAAGAAGACACTACAATAGAGAAATCTCAAAAAATTCTGGGGGTTAGGATGAGATTGTGAGAGATGCATCCTATCTATATTTCTCGCTAAAAAATCTCACGAAATCCACACTAATAAAATATTCATTAAAACCGTTAGATTTTTGAATACCATAATATTATTTTTTTCTTTGTTTAAAATTATGATTGAATACCAACGGATTTGGACGGACTCTGAAATAAATTTTTAAAATTCTAATCGAATACCATATGATTATTTTTCAATCCTTTACAATTTTAATTGAATACCAATTGATTTTTTATTTCAAAAATAATCTATTAAAATCCTTTGAAATCCCAATCAATACAACCCCCTTAATCTATATAATTTATGAAACGTTGTATCCAAAAAAAATTAATAATTTATGAAACGTTGCATATTAATACTTGTTAATTTTTCTAAAGGCAAGTTCCATGAATTTATTGTAATAAGAACTTACAAAAACATTAAATTTATCCGAGAGCTACGTTGTGAGCAATAATGCAGCAAAAGTTAACAATATTGCACACAATGAGACTACTAAAAAGGCCTAACTGCAACATATGAGATATGTTTTCTGAAGCCCATATGAGAAGTTCATACAGCTAAAGTTAACAATGCGGTATCCATCACCCAATTAGTTCAATTCAAATTTCGATTGGATTCATATTACGTTTTTCATTCTTAAACTAGAACTGGAGACTACGAGACTAGTAATTAATGGAAACAAACTCTTTACCATTTCACATTAGATTTATTTACAAATTTTATATGCATTTGAGATTTCTTAAAATTGTTTACTTATAAAAGTCTAGTTAAATTATTTGTATATAAATATGACCCAAGTACTTAATTAGAATTTCTTTCATGATTTTCTTTAGTCGGTAGCCTTTGAATGAATCCCTTCTCCTAAAAAAATTAAAAAAAAAAAAACTCAATTTACGTTTTTTAAACATAGGCTTAGTTGAATATCAAAATAACAAAAAATATAAGTATAATTAAGTTTTTATTTTTATATTTGTAGTCTATTTATTATGTCCTACATTGTGTAAAAATATAAGAAAAAAAATTATAAGCATAATTGTGTTTTTAATTTTTATATTGGATTTAAAGTTTCTCATGTTATAGGAGATAAATTTTATCTCCTGCACACATAATAATATGTTGTGCTCGTATGAAAAGAAAAGAGAAAAAAAATAAAATATAAACCTCACTGTATGTTTAAAAGATAATTTTATCTGCGTGGGAAACTATAAACCCTTTTATATTTGCAGTCTACTATGTCCTACATGGCACAAATATGTTGGCTTGGTATGTTTCTTACAGCCGTTAAGTTAGTTCAATTTTCGGTTTAGTTTTTAAAACATTAATTTCAATATATCAATTTGTAAATTAAATTTGAATCTAAAACTATTACACCAATAATCATTTGACACATCCATATTGATAACTAATAAAATTTAGATTATATGGGTTGTCAAAAGTAAAAAAGTTTTACACGTGTTATCATATTAGTTAACACGAGTTATGAAACTCACAAAATAATATAACAATATATTATTAAATAAGAATATAATTTTATAATAAATCAAAATCAAGTTCTACCTAAAATGAATGAAAAGTCAAATATAAGATTAAAATACAAGCGTTAGGTGACCTTGTTGAGGAAACTCCGTAATTGGGGTGTTCATCAACTGATTTAAATTACGGTGACCGAACTGAAAAATCAAAAATCGAATTAATCGAAAAATCAAAAATAAAAAAAAATCACAAAATTTAATTGGATTGGATCAATTTTTATATGAGTTGATGAAAATCGATCCAATCTAATCCAAACCGATCCAATGATTCCCCAACCTTATCATTTACCTATTTGGGTCTTTCCTTAATCATAGATCAAAAATCATATAACAAAATTATAAATTCTAGACCCATTGACTCCATGTTTGAGAAAGTGGGTTGTAATTGATCTATTTAACTTTTTTTTTTTATAATATACATAATATATTTTTATTACATGGGTTATTGTTGTACCGCAGCTCCTCTATATTATAAATTTTTTGTTTAAAGTAAAAGATGATAATTTAATTTTTTGTTGTACAATACCTCTAGATTGCACAATAATCATCATACAAACTTGACAAAGTCGATACATATGTTATTTGCACAATAATCATTATACAAATCTTAGGCTTTTCAAAAAATCGAAAACTAATCCAATCCAAATCGAATAAAATTGGATTGGATAGGATCGGATCGTATTTGGAAAAAATGCAAACCGAATGAATGATTACATGATTAAATTAAACCGAAAGAATTAAATCGAATGATTTTCACTCCTTAAAAATTGATCCAATCCAGACCACGAACACCCTGATCCGTAAGTAACATGACAATTAGGAATAGCGTTTAAAAGGGGTAACCTCGTAATCTTTCTGTAAACGCGCTTTGATGTTTACACTACCAAAGGTTAATCTTTAAAATTTTTACTCTCATTTGCATTTAAACTTTTGATTTTTATCAACCATTCTAATGCTCCAAGCAAAATTGTGCAAAGCTCCCCATTTGTCCCATCATAATACGTATGGGAAGCTTAATGTTCTAAAGAATATATGATCTTAAACTAAAGACAATCAATCTATATTTGGTTTGGTATTTAATGATTTCAACACATTGCTACAAAAGCATAGATAGGTTTGAATTAATTGACGAAATAACATTTTTAAATGTCAATGTGATTTCCAGCGTATTTAAATTCAAAAATATGAATATACCAACTGCTTCAGATTTCAGTAAGAGACTAGTGTAATAACTATGAATTTGAATTCTCAACTACCAACAAATATTCGTAAATGATACAAATGTAAAACAAGAAAAAAAATCACAAATGTTTACAAGAGTTTGTGCTCCACCGAATCTCCTACTAAACTCAGTGTCACATGTAAAGCATAATGAGTGCTTCAATGGAGAACCTCGCTAGTCATTTTGTCTTGTTTTTCAGGGCACAAGATTCCTTCTGACGTTGTTCTGGGTGTTCTGTTTTCTTGCCATTTGTGTTTGAACAATTAACCTCAGTTGAATTGCTACATACCTTTGTTTTTGTCTCTACTCCAAGATAATTTGACAACACTCTTCTCACCCCAAACCCACGACGAGGAGGTTTAATGCAGTTGTTATTGTTGTTGAGGAAAGGAGTTCTCTCCACTCTTGCAGGACTAATTAGTGGCACAGGTGAAACTGCTGCTTTGTGTGGTGTGCCTGAGACAGACACTGAGAATGGACGTGAAACCTTTTGCTGAGAAACCATGTTAACAGTTGAAACCAATGCAAATTTCTCTGAATGTTTAGTCAAGTCATCCACATATAGCAAATCATCAATACGGGCCACAATATTAAAAGCCATGCTCTCCAAAACTCTTGAGTAGCTCTCCAGTACTGATTTTCCAACATCCTGAAATGTTTGAGTGAAATGTGTCAGTGTTGAAGAAGGCTAAGAGAGAAAAATATTGCAATAAAGCACAGTGACCAGTGAGTGAGTGATCATGTAAACCACTCCCCGTTAAAACCCAACTAGTGAGGGTAGAGCTAAGGATAATCCTTATACGCAGTCTTATCCTTACATATTTGCAAAAAGTTATTATCTGAATTCTAATCCATGACCTTTCAGTCACAAAGAAACAGTTTTATCAGGTGAGTGATATAGATGGATAAAAAAAGAGATTCATAAAGATGACCTTTCGGTCACAAAGAAACAGTTTTATCAGGTGAGTGATATAGATGGATAAAAGAAGAGATGCATAAAGGGCAGTGACTAGTGAGTTATCATGTAAACCACTCCCCCTTAAAACCCGACTAGTGAGGGTAGAGTTAAGAATAATCCTTATACGCAGTCTTATCTTTACATATTTGCAAAAAGTTATTATCCGATTTCAAATCCATGACATTTCAGTCACAAAGAAACAGTTTTATCAAGTGAGTGATATAGATGGATAAAAAAAGAGATGCATGGAACCTTGTTGCACTGGATCTTGCTGGTATCCAGTGTAGTTTGAGTTAAGCCTGGGAAACGCTGCTTCAAGGAAATTAGAATGTTTTCAGCTCTTTCAGCTAGTAGTTCTCTCTTATCTCCATCAACCATAAAGTCCTTAACTATCTCCCAGGATGACTTTGTTGTTGAACGGTTGGGATTAGGTGAGGGTCTGGAGTGAGCTCTTCTACGCCAAACATAAATTGCTGCTTCCACACGGTTAGCAATCTCTAGTGCAACATGTTCAGAGGAGAGGTCTAAGCAGTCAAGTAGACACTCCGGGGAGAATTGATCTGATGTGATGTAACGGTACACAAAATCCCCCAAGCAAGTTCTTCCATTCTGTAAGCCAGGACATGTTGAAAGTACTCTTTAGTGAAAACCCATATTAATATTCAAGACAATGCCATCAATTCATGAATGAAATATGTTTGGCCATTTATCTTAAATCATATAATTGACATAAAGAAAAAGTTTATTTATGTTAGAATTTAGACCTTAGGCAGGACTTCCAAATATGATTCGGGAACTTCCATTTCAGCCAAAGCAATGCTGTTGATAGACATGGCTGCTTTTAGTATTTGGTTTGCACACTCTCTAGAGTGATTCAACTGCTTTCTTGAGTTCTCACTGAGACCTGCAGGGGGCACACGAGGTACGGGAAGCCACCACTTTTCTTCTTGCCTCTGAATTGTTTTGCGAAAAGAGGCTGAACCATCTGCATCTGGGGCTACAATTCCTTGGTCAACGTACCAAAACTCTGTAGTGGTGAAACTATCTAAAATCTCCTGTGATAAAAGAAAATGTACAATAATACAACCTCAATCAGTTAATGATGCCTCTTCAAATTACTACTGTATCATGAAAGAATAAGATTAAGTACTCACGAGAAGCATGTTGTCAAGTTTGCGAAGAGCTGGAAGATTGATAAAAATATCTGTCCTGGGCCTGCAAGTCATTACCTGCAGAATGCAACAGATTAGAAACATCATAATTCCCCTTGTTGAAAAAAAAAATAAAAAAAATCAGAGTTCAGCATTGGGGCTAAGGACTTGATCAAATTTTACCTCGAGCTTACTTCCATCAGGAAATGTTTGCCAAGAAGGTTTTAATTCAACAATGTGATCACTAACACTAACAAGCCATTCCATCTCTCTATGCCACATTGCTTTCTTCTCAGAAGGTAGAGGTTCTAGTCTCCATAATTGCCCAAATGCCGTGGCTACATGTAGCACAAAATCCAAATTGCATAAATCATACAACTTAAATTTATACCAAAAACAGAAATTTGAAGCTTTTGTCAAGTTAGACAAACAAAACAGTTCCTCAATTACAATTTACAACAACATGAACCTATCTCAGTGTATGCAAGAGAGAAAAAGCGTACCACACAGATTAGTAATGGCATTTGAGATGGCCAAAGCAGTGGAAACCCCTTTTCCAGAACCTGACATATCTTCACCAAGCAACAATTTTGCAAACCTTTCCTTCATCATATCAGCTTCTGTTTCAGTTAAAAAGAAATCTAATAAGACAACAACTAAATGGATACTAATGACTTCACCCACTAAAATGGATGATTAACTACAACCAATTTAACTAAGAAAAAAAAGTTTTTAAAAAAAAAACTAACCTGACATTTTGAAATCGATACTGGTAAATTTTGAATCTTCTAAGTGAGATTTATGTTTATTTTCTTTTTCATCAGAATTTAAGCGATTGGAGACTGTAGCCTTGAGAATAGGCCAGCCAAGAGGAGAAGGCGAAGAAGACCCTTTTGCTTTTGCTTCTTCAATAGAGACAGAGGAGTTCGATCCACTGAAACTGGTTTCTCTAGACTCTGCACTCGAGTTTGTGAGAGAAGATTGAAACCCATCTCTTTTCTTTGGTGAATTTTCAGTCTTCTTTGATAAAGCATCCATCTTTGACAACTTTTCACAACGGGAAGAAAAAAAAAATTTGAGTCCTAAAAGGTAAAAGAGGTAGTCACTACTCACCCAGAGAAGTTTCCAACAACATGGCCCTCAGACATAACAGTGAAATGTGAGGTTGGTTTAAGGTCTAAGGATATATATGAAGGGACCGCAAAGGTTGTTTCATGAAAAAAGACGATGTAATGATGAAAGATGTGCGGCTTTTTCCGAAAAGGATTGTGAGACACTCACAGCAGAGATGAGAGAACACACACAACACAACACAACACAACACACACACTCTCTCTCTCTTGCAAACAAATATTATTTGAAGTTTGAATCTCGAAAGGTAAGTGCGAATTAGCAACGTCTCTCAGAGCACCGTGTACGTTCAAAATAACAATATAAAAATTTGAACCCTGTTGTGGCTGTATGCAGAGGGTGCTAAGCTAAAAGACGCTGAGAATGTTTAATTACCTTCTTGGCCTTTACTTTTCGTTGCCGTTAACTATTATTAGGCCTTGATCATTAATTTGTTGCTACTAAAACGAAAATAGTACTTTAATCCTAATGGAATGTCATGGTTTAAGAAGATTTTGCATGCTTGAGTTCGGTGACGATTGTCGAATTGTTTTTGAAAAAAAAAAAAAAATTCATGGGGTATGATATTGTAACAATCAATTAGCTTACTATTAATGTTATTACCAATCAATGATCCAACGATTATATTTTTATCTTTGTATGATTATGATTCTCCATATTTAATACTTTATATTTATTTTATCTTTGTACGGTTATGATTTCTCATATTAAATGTAAAACTTTAAATACGGAGAATCATAACCGTATAAAGATGAAAGTAAATATAACTGCTGGATCAACATAATCGATGTAACGGTGAAATTGATTAGTACTAACCCTAATTGGTTGTTACAATATCTACCCATTTTTTATTTATGTTTTTAGTTTAGAAAAAAAGTAAATACATTTTCTGGTACTCAGCAAATTTCACAACACCCGTTTTAGTCCTTAGCAAATAAAAAGGCCCATTGTGGTCCCTCAAAAATTTAAAATTGACCCATTTTAGTCCTTTTAGGGACTAATATGAGTTTTTTTTGAATTTGTGAGGGACCAAAATTTCAATTAAATGGGTCCATTTTGAATTTTTTAGGGATCACGATAAGCCTTTTTATTTGCTAGGGACTAAAACGGACGTCGTAAAATTTGCTGAGGACCAAAAAGGTATTTATTCTTAGAAAAAATACATATTTAATAACATAATTTATTTTGTATATAAGTGTGTATATAATGTCAATAACATATTCGTCGTTATTTAATAAATAGTGCGTTATGAGAACAAAAATAAAATAAAATAATTATTTCTTATTTTTATCAATTTGTGTTCTTAAACAATCGATTTATTTTCCAAAAGAGAAAAATAAATCATTTTTACCGAATATTACTTATAATCATTTATTGTTTCCAGATTAAAATAAATAAATCAATAAAATTCCTGAAAATGTTATCTTAAACTCTCTTATTGACTTAGTCAAGTTTGTAATACTAATTAAAGAGGAAAACAAACCTTTATGTGGACGGATAATGTTTATATTTTTCAATTATGAATAATAGTTACATTATTTGTATAAAATATTTACAAGCTTGGAAGCACTTACCGCTAAACTAATTGAATTTTTAATTGAACCTTTTATTCAACCTTTAATTGAATTTTCATGAATTGGTTGGAATATATATATGTATAACTTTGATTAAAAATGCCACCATAATGAGGCCATAATTAGTTTAATCTTGTCCATATCTGCCAACTCCTATCATCAAAGTTCTTTATGTCATTTATCACCGTTGAATTGTTGTTCCGTTCAGCTGCCTTAAAAAGGGTAGCATCCTTATTTAACTCCGAATTTAAGAGCTTATAAATATACAGCATCATATATAAAAAAAAAAAAAAATTGATCTATTATCCTGCCATATAATATAACTAGTAAATTATTCCCCTTACTTTTTTAAAAGCAATTTTTTTTTAGATAATTCGAAAGTATTCTCACACAATTTTCTCCAATTATCTTGTTTTTGGAGTATGACTTCTAAAGTTAGCTACTCATTATTAGATCAGTGACATCGGAAGAAATATGAAATTAATCCTTCAAGGGGAGGTGAGTTGCCTCTGGCTCCCAAAAATTCTAATAATTTCATTAATTTGATTTGGTCAGGTTTAAACCCCAAATAAAAGCAAATCCTTGGATGATTCTTAGTTGTCAACTACTTTTGTGTTTTCTTAAAAGCAATTTAGTTAGCTCATCCATTGAATTTAAGCATGTTATCATTTCTTTAACAGGTAAAATATTCAGTGCCATAGAATATTTCAGAGGTGAAATTTAAAGGATATTCCCATCAAAATAATTTAGACATATGCGTGACGATCTAAATGGCACAAAAAAATTAATACATGAAACCCACTTTATCATCCCATGCGATCAATACAATATTTTATGTAACTGATTACATTCAAAAAAGGGGAAATATTATTAGATTTCTTTTTCTTTTTCTTTTTTGTATTTGTTAGAAAATGGTTTGGTGTTATGTTTCATATCCCATGTAATATTAGTTTAAAATAACAATGTTTTATGTTTTGATATTAACGACCAGTCAAATTTAAAAGAAATGTAGCTTTTCGCCTCCTAATCCTTACAAGTCACAACTACATTTTTTTATTTATTCATTTTTTGGTGAAGCATCTTTTAATTTATTTTTACTTCAACAAAAACACACTGCAATGATGCTACTAATATGAAGCCTTGGCTCCGGACCATACGATTCATGGGTAAACCCGTATTGCTATCAATTACTATCAAATGAACAAGGGCAATCCAGTAATTTGCGCAGTCAGCTTTGCTCATTTTTAAATTCTACTACAACTTATAATAACTAAAATATGGCCGTTAAAGAGCAGTTAGACATTGACAGAGGTTGCCTCACACTTTCTAACATAATCTTCTTCCTTTAACCATGCTAGATTCCAAGTTATTAGTCTTTTCCAAAAATTTCTTAATTAGTTAATAAAATGAAGATCATTATTAAACTAAAACTTATAAAGAATGACTTTAAGTAGTGAGTAAACTTGAAGTTAGACATAAATTTATAGTATCAATGTGTTTTATATTATAGAAGATAATTTTATTTCTTACACATACATAAAAATATGTGGAATCCATATGGGGGATATATAAAGAGAAAAAAGAGAGAGAAAAATAGATCATATACATTTTTATATATGTGTAGAAAATAAATTATCTCTTGTAATATGAGAAATATTAATCGCTAAATTTATAATATGTTTTCAATAAGTTTATTAAGAAGATATTTTTATAATATAATATTTAAACTTTTTTAGGATGCTAATTTTTAAAATTTCTGTTAAAAGTATTAAATTGTTACTTTTGGAGTTTTTGTCATTTTTAAAATTATCAAAATATCGTAAAAAATTTAAATATGATATTATCTAATTAAAAAAAATACTTTTTTCCTATAAAAAGAAAAACAAATTTTGTCTCAATATCGTCTTTGGAAAGAGTTTAAAATCTTAATTCTGAGATTCATTTTGAATGAATTACTCGCAAAATAATAAATCGATTGAAATATTAAAAACAAAAAACAAAAAAAACGAATGTATGTAGCTTGAAATTACAGAAAGGCATTTGTGGAGATAAAAAAGCACCACAAATAAAGATATTATAGGAAACCTCGTAACATAGACAAAATATCAAACAAAAAAATATCCTATAATTTTGTTTTTATTGTCATTTCCGGGAACGATGCTTCTCACACAATCCGATTCCCATAATTAACTGATTCGTGTGAATTTTGACCCCAGACGGTAGAAATATGATATGAAAATTTATATATGGATTGACCCATACTTAAATTAGGTAGTATTTATAATAGCAAATATAACACGGTAAAATTCGTGTCGTATTGCATATCAATACGCAAACATATATTTGACCCGTATTTGTGTAGTTATTTACCGTTTTGACCAAACATGTACAACCACATCCATTTGCACCTTATGATGTAAGGGTAGTTATGTAATATGTTTTTATATCGTGTCGTATCAACTCGTACAAAAAGTTATTTGTATTGGTGCCAAGAATCCATAAATTTCAATTTACATGTTATTTGTATCGTGTCAACTCACAGAATTTGTGAGTCGTATTCGTGTTGAAACTTTTGACTAGAATAAAAATTCATATCATATTCGTATTGATGTATTTTTGTCATAACAACCCGACACCTCTAGTCAATTTATGTAAAAAAAAAACACTTCTATTAGTAGAATTCAATCCTCTTGAGAAAAAAATGCATTCCCTCGATGTGTCACGAGGGTTAGGGAGGAGTCTGTGACAAGGACTATCAATGGGCTAAGTAAATCAAATATACTAAGTGGGTCCGACATTATATATCAACCCAAAATTTTAAAATATTGAATTAATAAGTCATTACATTTATATGCACTTCACTTAACTTAAACATAATTAGCTTACAAAATTCAAGCCAACCGTTGATTGGAAAAAAAAAAAGCCGGATGACGATAAATCAACCTTAGTAACATTTGTAAGGGGGCGTTTGGTAGAGGAGAAATTTTTTTTTATCCAGGAATCATGATTTCCAGGAATATGATGGGAAGATGAGTTTTCTGAGAATGTTACCAAAAAGTTGTTTGGTAAACTAAAATATTCCTGAAAATATTAGGTTAATTTTCTTGATACTATATTTAGTTGTATTAAATTTTTTCTTGCCATAGAAGTCCTAGATACCACCCCTCTAATGGTATTCCTGGATGGTATTTTCAAAAAAAAATTACACATAAAATAAAATTCCGGGAAAATCAGATTCCCGAGAAAATTTTAAAAAACTTGTACCAAACGTGGATAAATACGATTACCACTTTCAGTTTCCCGAGAATCTTAAAAAAAAACCTTGTAACAAAC